CTGTATGAGCCCCAATTTATGTCCGGGTAGCTGTCTGAAATTCCACTGAATTTGGGAACCCGCCAGCGGGTACCTGTCATACACTGGTAGGTAGCAGGTAGCAACCATCTCTGGGTGTCAGAGAAGTATGTGAAGGAGTGGTAATTAAGGGGTACCTTTGGTGGGGTACCTTAGGTTAATTGACCTGTAGATTCAGAATCTGCAATAAAACTCTAAGTTCCTCTCAAGGTTTAGAAGTTATTTGCAGATTCTTTGTTAAAGGGCATTAATAAAAAAACACGGTTTTTCCGCGTTTACACACGGTTTTGCTGCGGCACAGCGCACACGGTTTCCGCATTTAAACACGGTTTCGTAATTAATTTGTATGGGTTATTTTTTGAGTTTTTTTGAATTTTTAAAGTTTTTTCCTACACTTTAAAAGGTGTAGAATTTAATAGTAAAAACCATTTTCCATAAAAATGAATTTTGATTATTAATTATTTTTTTTGACTCATTTCTAAATTAGTTGTTTGCATACATGTATGTACCTTATTTTTTATGTTTTTTTGATATTTTAAATTTATTTCCTAGGCTTTAATGTGCGTAGAATTTAATGGTGCAATCCAATTTTTTTAAAACTCAACGGATCACTTTTAATACTCAAATTACACCCATTTTTTCACTTAAAGTTTTAGAGCTTAATTTTCATTCTTTTTTGACATTTCAAATTTATTTCCCACACTTTAAGACATGTTCAAAATGATGGTAACAATCATTTTGCATAAAAACAAAAGGTTGGTGATGAATACTGCGTTGGACAGGTTTTTTTTAATGTTTTTTGAATTAATTTTTACTGGCTTAATTTCAATCATTTTTTGGAATTTGAAATTCATTTCCTACATTTAAAAATGTTTAGAATTGAATGGTGAAGTTCAATTTTCATAAAATTTGAATCTTCAATCTTAATATAAGAGTGTACACCGTTTCTTGCATAATTTGTACTGTATACAAATTTTATTTGAATGCAAAATGGATACAGACAACAATTTGAAAACCTTTCAAAGTGTAGGAAATGAACTTGAAAGTACATAAAATAAGGATAATTAAGCGTGTGAGAATTAATTAAAGAAACATGTCAAAGGCATTATTCAAGGTACAGTTTTTATTTTGATACAAATTGATTGATACCATAATTCTATACATGTCTGAAAGTGTAGGAAACAAATTTAAAATGTCAAAAAATAATGAAAATCAAGCTCTTAAAAATCAATTGAATTTTAAGGCTGATTACAGTATTCAGAATGAACCGTTGAGTTTTATGGAACTTGAATGTTACCATTAAATTCTAAACACTTTGAAATGTAGGAAACAACTTTAAAATTTCAAAAAAGCATGAAATATAAGGTAAAAAAAACTAATGCAAACAATTGAGTGAAAAAGTGAAAAATTAAATAAAAAAAAAACGGTGTCAAATGCAGTATAGAAGATGTAGTTTGCATTTTGGTGCAAAATGATTTTTACCATAAATTTATACATGTCTGAAAGTGTAGGAAAAAAATTTAAAATGTCAAAAAAGAATGAAAATTAAGCTCTAAAAATTTAAGTGAAAAAATGGGTGTAGTTTGAGTATTAAAAGTGATCCGTTGAGTTTTAAAAAAATTGGATTGCCCCATTAAATTCTACGCACATTAAAACCTAGGAAATAAATTTAAAACATCAAAAATAAGGTACATACATGTATGCAAACAATTAACTTAGAAATGAGTGAAAAAAAATAATTAATAATCAAAATTCATTTTTATGGAAAATGGTTTTTACCATTAAACTCTACACCTTTTAAAGTGTAGGAAACAACTTTACAAATTCAAAAAAACTCAAAAAATAACCCATAAAAAATTAAGGGCCTTAATAAAAAAACGCGGTTTTTCCGCGTTTTGACGCGGTTTTAACGCGCCGCAGCACACGTGGTTTCCGCGTTTAGACGCGGTTTTATTAATTAATTTTTTACCGCTTATTTTTCGAGTTTTTTTGAATTTTTAAAATTGTTTCTTATGTTTTAAAGCGTGTAGAATTTAATGGTAAAAACCATTTTTCATAAAAATGAACTTTGATTATTATTATTTTTTCCACTCATTTTTTCAATTAATTGTTTGCATTAATGTTTTTACCTTATTTTTTATTTTTTTTTTGAAATTTTAAATTTATTTCCTAGGTTTCAATGTGCGTAGAATTTAATGGTGTGATCCAAATTACATAAAAATCAATGGTTCATTTTTAATACTGAAATTAGACACATTTTTTCACTTAAATTTCTACAGGTTAATTTTCATTCTTTTTTGACATTTTAAATTTTTTTCCTACACTTTAAGACATGGTTAAAATGATGGTAAAGCTTATTTTGGATCAAAATGAAAACTATATCTTGATACTGCATTTGACATGTTTTTTTATTTAATTCTCCACTTTTTCACTTGATTGTTGCATGACTTTTTTAACATACTTATATGCTTTTTGGAATTGGAATTTGTTTCCTACACTTTCAGACATGTATAGAATTATGGTAACAATGAATTTGCATCAAAGTGAAAACTACATCTTAAATACTGCATTTGATGTGTTTATTTAATTAATTCTTACACACTTAATTATCCTTATTTTATGGAATTTCAAGTTCATTTCCTACACTTTGAAAGGTTTTGGATTTGATGGCTGTATTCATTTTGCATTCAAATAAAATCTGTATACAGTAAAAATTACGCAAGAAACGGGGTACACTCATGTATTATGATTGAAGCTTTTATTTTCAGGCAAATTGGAATTCACCATTAAGTTCTACACATTTCTGAATGTAGGAAATAAATTTAAAATTTCAAAAAATGATCAAAATTAAGCTGGTAAAAATCAATTTAAAAAACATGAAAAAAAACCTGTCCAACACAGTATTCAATAACAACCTTTTATTTTTATGTAAAATGGTTGTTACCATCATTTTATACATGTCTTGAAGTGTAGGAAAAAAATTCAAAATGTCAAAAAAGAATCAAAATTAACCTGTAGAAATTTAAGTGAAAAAATGTGTCTAATTTCAGTATTAAAAATGAACCATTGAGTTTTGAAAAATTTGGATTACACCATTAAATTCTACACACATTGAAACCTAGGAAATAAATTTAAAATTTCAAAAAAGCATAAAAAAATGAGGTAGAAACATGTATGTAAACATTTAATTGAAAAATAAGTGGAAAAAAAAAATTAATAATCAAAACTCATTTTTATGAAAAATGGTTTTTACCATTAAATTCTGCACGCTTTAAAACATAGGAAACAATTTTAAAAATTCAAAAAAACTCGAAAAATAAGCGGTAAAAAATTAATTCAAAAACCGCGTCTAAAAGCGGAAACCGCGTGTGCTGCGGCGCGTTAAAACCGCGTCAAAACGCGGAAAAACCGCGTTTTTTTATTAAGGCCCAAAATTAATTACGAAACCGTGTTTAAACGCGGAAACCGCGTGCGCTGTGCCGCAGCAAAACCGCGTGTAAACGCGGAAAAACCGTGTTTTTTTATTAATGCCCTTGTTAAAATGTTTATTTATTTATTTTTTTAATGTTTTTCTTCATATTATTGTTAAAATTTTTTATAATAGGGGGTATCAAATATAAAAAAATCCACCATTCTTTAATTGACTAGTTTGAAAAAAATCCACCCTTTTTTGAACATGTTGGTTATTCATTTAACCACTTTTGGGGCCCATTGATGCAAAAAAAGTAGAGATTGTTTGTTCAGACCTGGGTACCTGTTCATTTTTTCAAGAAAATATATACCATTTACCGCACCAGACACCTCCCGGGGGGTACTGGCGGTACCTTTTGCAGGTACCGCAGGCACCTCCCCTCTCTTTTTCACCTAGTTTATTCCCAGATTCCCAAGTCACTTTATTATTATTATTATTTTCATATCCACTCACAAGTCACTTTTTTGGCACTTTTCTATATCTGTTGTAATATATCTACATCTAATTGGAAGAATCTTACTTTTCTATTTATTTATTTTTTTCATATTTATTGTAAAACATCAGTCCCAAGTCACCTTTTTTTCATTTGTTCATATTTAACAATTTATTGTAAAGTTTAAACTATCTACGACTTATAACTAATCGGAAGAATCTTCATTGTTGTCCAAAACTATAATCGCCTTCCTTTTTTGATTTTGGTTAGACTTCTTGTTATCCTTGAGTCCCAGTTTCCATGCAGCCAAGGTACCTTCTTGGATCTTGGAGTAGAGAAGGCCACCGTCAGTTTGGTAGCAAAGTGAGGGGGTACCTGTTCAATTTTTCACAAAAATAGGTACCAAGTACCACACCTGGCACCTCCTGGCAGGTGCAAGGGGTACCCCCCAAGCGGTACTAGGTACCTGAAAAAAGTACCGCGGAACAAACTCTAAAAAGGGGTTTTGGGAAACATGACTGGTTTCTAATGGTGGACTTCCTATATTTGATACCCCCTAATGAATTGTTTTTATGATTTATAAAGGAAAAATGTCTCTTTTATAGAGGTTCCTCTTTTTACATATTTATATGCCTTATAGATGATAATCTCTCTTTCTTAAGTACACATCAATCATATTGAATGACACATAATGCAATAAAATCTCCAACTTATTTGATATTTGTAGTCAGTATATTGTCACTGCATTTGTATCAGGCTCACAAAGAATGAGTTATCGGATGGTTCAAGAATCACCCCACTTGACACCAAAGTAATATGATGATGATAAAGAAAGAAAGAAAAAAACAAAGTTGCAAACAATTTCAGAAGCCAAGGCAAATCTCAATAGTGCTCTAGCTGGCCTGCAGTTTATGTAAGTAACTATATTAATATCACAGCAGCTCTCTAAGGTTTCTTTTCTGCTGCAGTAGCCGCAGAACAGCAAAGTGCAGTCCATCAAATTGGGGGTTGAGGTTGAGTGCTGGACTGGGATGCTGTTGGAGTGAGGCTCTGCACCAAATCGTGAACCAGAAGTGGACACTTTAGTTAAGAACTCTTGGAACCTACTCTAATGCTCTCAAGAATCTTGGGATCTCCATGATTATCTGGCAAAACTTGAACAATAACCAGCAATAGAGACGAGTCAAAACACGTCAAAAGATATATATTTTCTTGTCATATGTTATCTCACAGAAAGTCACTCTAATTAGCAGCAGATGTACACACCATATGGCTTATAGAGCCTGCTTTGTTAAGACTAAAAATTGCTTGATGTCATAAGAATCGAGTGTAAAGAGGAGAAAGATCAATGATGCTGTTGATTGGAGCGAGTAGAGCCCCCTCTCTGAAAAAGTACACCAATCTTACACTATCTCAATGAGGTGATACTGCAAGATTCAAAAGGAAAACTGGATAGGGCGATATACAAGTTAACGACTACGAGCGCTTTTCTTTGAGGTTAACTTTCAGCATGGAAGATTCGATCGACTTCAGACTGATACTTGGTAGCATTTGTTTGCTTCTTGGTGCGTTTGGGATCACTTGCCGGCACCGGCAACGTATTGGTTGACGACCCCGCCGAAGGATTTGCCTTGACCGACAGCAATGTTGAGCTCCTTGGCGGTAGGAAGACGACTTCCATCTCCACCAGCAACCTGGGGGAATTGGAGATAAGTTTGAGTGTGTGTGTGTGTGTGTGTGTGTTGCCGATTGAGCAATCGCATTGACGTGTTTCGTAATCCAGAATCAGTCAAAAATCATATAGTTATCTGGACTCGATGAAAATGAACAAGAAGAAGCAGAAGCAAAAGGACCATCTATAGTATTGACTTACAGTGCTAGCTCCCCATGCCGATCCACCCATGATCTCACTGTTATCAGTCAAGTTGGGATTGGTGTATCCAAGCGGGACGAAGATGATTCCATGATGGGCAAAGAAAGGGATAGTCTACGATCCCGGAAAAACAAACGCATGATCAGGTTGATAAGTTTTGGGTGTGATGAGCCAAACTAGAGTAGAGAGCTCACCGTGAAGGCAGTGGTTTCGTGTCCCCCATGTTGTGAGGCAACGCTGGTGAAGATCCCGGCGAACTACATAAGTAGTCAGATCGATGTGAACATAGGAAGCATGAGTTGCCCTCTTCTTTTCCCTGCAGAATTCGCTAACCATCGGAACCCTCGTAGTAATCCGACTTACTTTGCCATATAGACCTGCAGTCTGCCAAAGTCCACCGGTCATGTCAAAGAAGGTCGACAGTTGAGCAGGAGTTCTTCCGTATCGAGTCGGGAAGCCAAACAAGAAACCATCGAACTCCTGGATGGTCCCAGTTTTAGCGCACTGCTCATAGACATCTCCGATACAGGCCATGATTTCAGAGTGAGTCTGATTGGGGCGTCCTGGCTTACTTTCAAGACGGTTGGGTCAGTCAAGACGGGGATGTTTTTCTTCGGCGGTGCATGCATCTTCTCGAGGACCTCTGGAGCGAGTGTTTCTGGGAATTGGAAACGCGAGACTGCGACGCCGGAGGCCTTGAGGCCTTCTTCGATCGAGTCGGCCAGTATGTCAACATGGCCATACATCGAATAAGCTGTGAGCAAAGAACATCAGCCTAGTGCTTTATTATCATGATTTTTTGACAATCAAAGCAGTTCCTCCTATTACGCACTCAGTAAAGCAACTTTTGCCGGCATCTTGGTTGTCAAAGTGGGAGAGGTTTGATGGACGAAGAAATCAAGTGTTTTGGGTGTTTCCAAATTCCAAAGCGAACGACGAACGGGTGGCTCGAGGACAGTGTTTATATGTATCTGATTGATCGATATGCGAGGGATAAATATAATCGATCGATCGGCGAATGTTGATTATCCCTTGCCGGCCATTCTGCGAGCGCCGTCGGTTGACTCGATCCCCGGAAAGCCGATGGTGGGAGTGGCTGTGTATGTACACCGTTCCTCTGCCCGTCAAGCGCGATAGATTTCCATCAGATTGCCTATTCGCCTCACCGAATGGCGTCAATCGGGCATCTTATTGTCTGCTAATGCTACTTTTAGAGAACGCCTTGAGAGTGGAAAGTTTGCTGATGTTTGATTTGGTTAAAATTCGATCAAGGATTGCTTATTTATTGAAAGTAACCCAAAAACAAATCACTAATCAGCATCTCGAAAATCGAACTGCCTCCAAGGAGAGCCCAGCCTCCAACCTGGCATAATTATTATTTGTAAATTTCTGATTAGAAACAAAACAAGCGGTAATCTTCCCCATCCATAATGACCACCACAGCATTGCAGTACTCTCAAACAGGGAGAAAGTCGAGACAGAGGAGCGTGGATTGACGAGCCCAATTCAAAACCATGAAAAACCATGAGAAGATCGAAAAGTGGAGGAACTCAATTATCAGCCCCACTCATGCAGGCAAATATTGACATCTGGTTTGATGGTGTGGGCTCCAGAACCGAAGGGAAGTCCTCCAGTGATAAACGGATAATTAACCTGGTGGATGCTCTCTGTTCTTTGTGCAAGGGTGTAGCTGCCAGTCAACCAACCTGGATGGCCCTCATCACATCTGATCACAACAGCGCCTTCGGCCAGTGCATTTCTCTTGGACAAGTACTTCTTACTGAATGTGCAATTTTTCTTTACAGAGCATACGTCGAAACAAAGCATTAGATAACACGGATTGCAGATTTAATGTATTTTTTTTCTTGGTTCTTATGTAGACAGATACATTTTTTTTGAAAAGAGTACACCAAGATAGGTTTTGATGGCTGGATTATGAATCCATTGATCTTCATGTCTGACAGGCAACCAAGGGGTTCACACAGACGATCTTCTTAGGATCTTGGGCCCCAGCTAACTTAGGAACAGTGTTTGCGCAGCTCAAATAACTCATGAGGTCCTTGGACTGTCGGTCCGGGGTGCATTGACACTCTTGGATGGTTTCGTCTGATTTCCCCGACGCTGGGAGCACGTCTCCACTCGCGTACAGTATCCCCACTTCAGCTCCCCCGGAGCAGAGCTTAGCTTGAACAGTTTCCTATCAAAAAAACAAAAAAAAACATCAGATGGTATGTCAAAAGAAGAAAGATCCAACATTAATTCTAGCTTGTTCATCAAAACTAGGGGGGGAGGGGCGCCCAGTGAGGAACGTAATAATGATACTCACCTCATCGTCATACATTTGTTTGTGTAGTTTAGGACAAGTACTAGCAGAACTATCCGTTTGCGAGTCGCTATCCCCGTCCCAACAGAACGGCAAGACCTTTCCCGCAAGCAGATCGATCTTCGGTTTCTCTTTACACGCAAGGATTCGGACGGCGTTGGAATCCCGACTGAACAAGGAAGCGCAGGTACAATTGCCCGTCAGGCTCGAAAAACTCCTCCCGTTCCAGCTGTACATCTTGCTTTTGCTCTTCCCTGACATCACCAAGTATCCTACGGGCTTCTCTCCACTACAGATCATCTGCATTTATTTTTTTTCATCATCATCATCATCATTAAAGGTCTCGTCGTCAGTTCTTCTCTTGAAACGCTGTGAAGAATTTGCTTCTTATGGCCAGCAAGTAAAATCAAAACACTGACCATGTCTGGCTGATCGGTATTGCTGGGAGTAGCGATGGAAATGACATGGCCAACGAGGAAGGAGAAAGCTATCAAGCTCTGCCAATTGAAGAAAAACAATGAGATATCCATCGCCCAAATCCTTTCCGGTGTTTTCTTTGAGTGAAGAATGAGATTGGCCGAACGGAAACGGTGCAAAAGAGATAAATTCTTTCGGCTTGAAAATGGTTGATTTCCTCGGTTCTCTTGAAAAAAAAGGCTTGGTTACCTTACAAACGTCTTCTCCTTATGTACAGATTGTTTATATTAGAAGAAGTTATCATCACTTTCGATAGAAGTCATTCAAAAACAGAGCATGAGAGTCAGTAAATTAGAACATTGCACCGAAAAAAAGAAGAAATGTGCACATTAATAAGAGAAATATAGCCACCAGAAATCACTTACATTCGACTTCACTTCTTCAAATGAGGTTGGTGCATTTGGCTGAAGAAGTCGTAGGAGGCAAGCCAGCTCGAGGTGAAAACATTTTTTTTTTCAGTGTAGCAAGTTTGAAGGACGGCTATGTAGCCCCTGCGAGGTGAGCTAGTTTGTTGTCTCCGGAGCGCCAAAAGCCCGAGGATCGAAAGATAATGGTTTCCAGTTCCTCGACGATATGAAAAAGAAATACTTGAAGGGGGATTTATGGACGTGTTTCATTCCCCCGAGTGGGCTCTCTCCCGGGTGATCTAATTCACTTGGCGACGGCCACACCATACATGAACTAATTCAAATCAGAAAAAAAAAAACACGGAAAACCATTGAGGTTTGAGCCAGCTGGTTGGAAGCCGAGGGGAGAGCTTCATCCTCGGAACTGTTCACATTTGTCTTGGCACTTCCATAGAAACCGTGCCCCCCCCGCTCCAACGCTCTCTTCCCTGTGCATTCCCCTTCATGTCTAACCCCGCTGCTTCACTAAATCCTTGAGAAGAACATCCTGATTTCCCATCAGAGTATAAGAATTTGTTCATCATTCATGCAAAGCAAACGCCTAGTCAAGTGTGGCAAATGATGGTTGTTCGACACACATTCATCACGCACCCTGGAAGATAGTACAGTCCTCCTGTGTGGCCAGACGAGCAAGTTGAGTAGTACATAGACAAGTGTGACATGCCAAGGTTTCACTTCAAAAAGAATAAGGGCCTGTACCGTAGGGTTCAATTTTCAAAAATGGGCATTTTCTCCATCCTCTACACAAAAACTGGTAAAAATTGGAGAGATCTGGTGTTGAAATTCTTCACTTTCATGCCAAAGACTAGCTTCTAGTTATGGTCAATTTTGATAATATAAAATTTTGAGAAATTGAATTTTGATGTGCTATGGTACAGGCCCTAAAGCGCTTCATCCATTCAACAATCTCAGAAAATCAACATCTTTCCCCAGGAACAAGGCAAGAAACACGCCACAAAACAACTGCAGCATATAAGAATTAGCTTTCAGTTTACCTTGGGGAATGAGTTTGACTGCAAGTAGTCCACCAGGATGTGATTGATTCTGATCAGTGTACAAACTTGTTCAGTGGCTTCAAGTTCAATTCACATCAACAGGAGTGTTTGGCTTTCGACCATGAATACTCATGCACAGTCATGTGTGGAGCTGGGCATGTTCCTCAACCTCACTGGTGATCCCTATGTATTGAGTACGGGTACTTCCATTTGCCGATATCTTATGAAGAAATCAATCCTGCCAAATAGACCCATCCCATTACAATGGGAAACCATTATGATGTTGCACAACACTGGTAACTGAGTTCAGGTTTCCAGTTAGTTATAATTAATGGTATTGCATAGATATTAATGCAAATGACCACAGATGCAAAAAAAACAAAAAAACAAGCTACTACTGCACTGTATTACAGCACTTTATGGCAGGTCCTACCACGCAAAGTGATGTAATCAAGCAGAACAAAGGGACATAAACCCATTGGACTAGTGCTCAACCGATCTGACAAAACACGGGCCTACTTTTCTTGCAGTTGTTGACTTGACAGGCCAGTTTTTAGTGGAGCAGCTTAAAGATAACCTAGTACTGCCACTATTGCAATATAACTGTTAAGCTGAATTGCCCACTTAAATCTCCATGTCCCCACTTTTTTTAAAGATACATATTATATTAAACTTGAAGGCAGGAGAAACTAGGAATGTACATAACTTGGGGTTTTAACATAACAGCCAAAAAAAAAAAAAAAAAAAAAAAAAACCAACCCAACCCATATGATCATCTACACCAAAAAAAAAACACCTCAATGTTCATTATCTAATACAAGAAGTTTGATGAGAAACAGATTGATTCCAATATCAATACACAAGCATGATTAATAAGCCAACAAAAAAACAATCCAAACCAGAGACTCAAGCATGATCAATCCCAACAAACAACCAACTTACAAGACCAATCAACTTACACTAATAATCATCACATACAAGCAGAACGTGATCTGGAGTGATAAACATAGAGGATCCAGATATAACATACAAGTAATATATATATATATATATATACGCCAATCCAACCCTAGCTCCAACATCATAATAATAATACTCATGTCCTATACAAAGGATGCTATAAAAGCAGCACACCAAGCCCAGTACATGCCCCAAAAATTGGATGGATATCTGCTGCTGCTCATAACCATTACTATACTCAATCTGATCAGCCAAGTAAAAAAAAAAAGAAGAAATTGTACACAACCAAAACATAATGAATCTTGTGAGATGTTTTAAAAAGAAAAGAAAAAAAAAGAAAAGCAAATGTATGGTGATGTTTTTATTTATGTCTGCATGTGTATGTATGATTGATTGATTGATTGTTTTGTGGAGAAGGAAAAAGTAAACAAAAACAGGATGAAAAAAATGATGAAAGAGTTATGCAAAAAAAAGGGAATAAATGTATGCAACAAAGAAAATAATTAAAAGAGATATATCAAAGAAAAGGATGAAAACAACAGCATTGGAAGCTGATGAACCAAGAGTGTAGTTTCTAGATCTACTAACATGAAAGTGGGGCGGAGTAGACCTCTCTCTCTCCCCCACTCTCTCTTCCACCCCCAGAGAAGATGCATATTTAAGAAACAAAAAAAAACATAAGATTGTATGCTTTCAAGAGTAATGTATGGGCAAGTAAGAAGAAAAAAAAAACACAAAGTCTTTGATGCAACGCATGCATACACACAAAATGATTTCAAAAAATGAAGAGCTGAGAAAAAAATGAACATAATGCAGCGGAGCGATAGAAGGAAAGAAAGAACGAAACAAAACCAATAATCCAAAAAAGATAGTTGAATGACAGTGAATGACAGAGAGGAGAGAAGCACGGAGAGCTTAGTATCCATACGAAGATGCGACAGCGCCATGTGAGGTATGATGGGTTGGGGCAATCGAGCCATTACTAGGAGCAAGTGTGCCAGTGACAACTACAGATGGATGGATAGCGTTCTGGGCTTGGGGGTGACGGAGGACAGCGCGAGTTCCGTTGTGGTGTTGCTGGGCAAGGATAGCGGCGGCACTGGCAGCGACGAGCCCAGGCTCGCGCCCAACCAGCTCGCCAATCGTCGTCGAGGCTCCTCGCCCACCACCGACGGTAATCGGACAATCCTTGTGTGAAACGAGGATGCTCCGGAACGAGTCGATCTCCTCTCTGAGTTGGTTGATCGTTAGTTGGAGACTCTCGTTCTCGGTACTCAAATATTCTACCTTGGTCTGTAAATTTGCAAGCCAAGCTTTCTTCCTCTGCCGGCATTTCAACGCAGCTATATATACAAAAAGAAAGTTATCAGCTGAGTGTGACACATATTAATTCCAAATGATCAACTAACCCTGTCTATTTCGTTCCAGAAAGTTCTTCCGTTTCTCTTCCTCGGTCTCAGGCTTTCCACTAGCGGAGGGTTGGGCTGTTGGAGGCGGGTGGTCGGGATCATAGTTTGCAGGCATTTGAGTATGTCCAGGGTAGCCCCCGAAATCTCCATCATCCCCGCCTTGGTGCTTCAGGTATGCCTTATCTTCTTCAGCTCCCCAGTAGCCGTCTCGTGAGTCAGAATCATCCCCACTGACGTCATCCGACTTGGACTTCTTCGACTTCTTGGCCTTGTGCGTAGGTCGTCCGGTTCGAGGAACTTTACTAGTGCCACGTTGTGCAGAAGAGTCGGCTATTGATGGTGATGATTGCAGCTCAGCCTTCTGGGAATCTTCGAAGGCGGCCTGGGCATTTTCTTTCCGCTTTTTACCTTTCTTCTTGGACGCTGACGCTGCAAGAGGGGGGAAGGATTGTTGAGGATTGTTGTTAGTCGACATGTTCATGGTAACAAGCGAACCTAAGGGGTGATTTGAATAACTCGGTTGAAATGAGATAGGACCAGTAGAGCCAGATCCTGAAGAGCTTGCTTGGGGTGGCAACAAGCCATTGATGTTGTGCACGCCGCTTGCATCGGGTCCAAAAGGAGAATCTTGATGAGCTGATAGTAGATTGACTCGACTGTCTGAACAGAGGATCACACCAGGTGGAAGGGAGGACGTGTCGGACAGTGTACCAGGCCGCTGAGAGGATAACCTGGGACTTGTTGCTGATGAGCCATCGTCGACATGCTTCAAAAGTGAGGACTGAGGGTTGTGAATGTTGTTAATCAAATGTGTATTCATGGTCCCGTTTGGATTGATGGTTGGCCCAGGCGAAGAATATCTGCTGCCGCCGCTGCTTCCGAGGCCTGTGAGTGCGGCTGCAGCAGTAGCGGTGGCATCATCCATAGTATCGTGAGGATGTGGGTCACGATGATTGGATAATTGAGACATTCTTGAAGATGCTTCATGGGCTACAGTCAGCAGATACAGGGGATTCGTGTTATACTGATCATTGATACGGTCACCCGAACCTGATGAAAGTGAATTCATTGGATTCCTAGTTGTTGAACTGGGGGATAGGGGGGTAACGATTTCGGTAGTCGACTGAATAGGAGGAACTGGTGGAATGGCGAGAGGCATCGAAGGCTGTGGGAATGACGTCCTGGAGGTGGTAGAAGTGCAGGAGTATGGACCAATGGCAGAGAGCGTTGATTGCGTCAAGCCGAGAGGGGAAACAGAATGAAGGCTTGTCACACCCGAAGGACCGACAGATGTAGCCATGGACGATTGGATGCAAGAATTTGAAGAGGACTCTCTTTTGGGGTGAGCAGAACTTGAGGGAGACGAAGTACTTGAATCATTAACTGAAACCACTGAAACGGGGGCCATTCTGGAACAAGTTGTGGCTTGAATAGTTTGGTTTTGGTCTTGCGTTTGAGGGGAGGATGAAGATGGAGAGTGATTTGTCGACGTCGATGATTGCGAATGGTCTTGCAAAGTCGAAGATATTGCTTGAGAAGTTGAATCAATTGGGTTGAGTGAAGGACCTGCAGACCTGTGACTAGGAGAACTGGAAGATTCAGGATTGGACGGAGCTTTTGTGCTTGAAGTGGATCTAGTGTTTTGATCGACTAGATTGGCTGGATTCAGAGGAGGGTTGACTGGATTGTGTGAATTGGAATCTGTAGGGTTGGATGAGCCAACTTCGGAGGAGGATATGGAGGGCTGACCAACCGCGTTCGGGATATCGTTTGTGTTTTGGTCGTCACCTGATAGTAGAGCAATCAATGCTTGAGTACCAGGGGTGATGGTTCCATTACCATTGTTGTTATTGTCGATATCAATCAAAGGAGTAAGGCCGGTATGAGAGACTGGGTTTCCGGCTCGTGCAGGAGCCGGGCCGTTAAGTAGGGCAGGAGATAGTGGACCAGCCCTTAAGGAATCGCCTAGTCCGCCAAAGTTCCAGTTGTATGGTGGCATAGAGACTGGAAGGGAAGATTGAGCAGAATGAGAGGTCGAGAGAGTTGGCGGGCTGAGTGACTTTGGGGTGCTCGTGCCGGTATGATGGACCAAAATGGCGGGCGAGGCAATCGAGTTGATTCCTGGAAGGGACACCTTGACAACACTGCCGCCGGGAGTGTGGCGAATGACGGGAGGACTGAGGCGGTTTTCAGATGAAAAGTGAGGTGGTGAGGATGAGCGTGCTTTGCGAGATCGAGATCCGTTGAGGAGATGGTCTAGCGAAGGTGAGTTGGTATTGGGCTGAGGGTGATGTGCGGATTCGGTGGGATTATCCTTGAAGGACTGTTCGAATGGATTGGGTTCGAGGTCAAATTTGGACTGAATCTGAGGTAAACTGGTTCGGGTATTGGACAAGGGTGGTCCACCGCGGATGGTCATCATGGAGCGGTGTTCTGATTGAATAGCAGGGAAGGGAAAATGACCGGTAGGGATTTGATCAGTAATCATTCACAGTAGGATATCAGATAAAGAGAGGGGGAGAGGTGTAGATAAGGACGGGACAGGTTGAACTGGATGTTTGAGAAAGATGTTGGGCTTGGGAGGAAAAGTGCAGAAGTGGAAACAAAAATAAGAGGAAACACGGAGGTAGAAGGGAGGACGAACCGGTAGGGGGTTGGCGGGGGAGTGGGAGGGGAATGATGATGAGATCTGTTAGAAGTCCAGAGGATGGGAGAGAGAGAGAGAGAGAGAGAGAGTTGCAAGGAGAGCTGGACCAACAGAGAGCTGGCTGAAGTGGGTTTGGTGGTGTCAGACGATTGACGGATTGAGCAACAGACTCATGGAAGCAAGAAGATCAAGTGCTCGGGCTCAAGGGTGAGACGAAGAACGAGTCTGTCTTGAACGGAGCCGTGGCGAAGCTTTCAAGATGGTAGTGATAGGATAGTATAGTACTCTTCAGGCTGAATTTGCAGTTGTTGTTGTTTGTTTTTTGCTTTTATTTTTTATTTTTATTTTTTTTCGGTTGAGGTTGGTTGTCGAGTATGGAGGACAAGGCCGAGTCAGGGTGTCAAATGACGTCATATGCTGAGTGCATGCGCGGCTGAGTATGTAGGGCTGAGTGAATGGCGGGAGGACGGGAAGAGTGGGAGGATGGGGACTTGTCAAGGAGATGAGTGCGCGGGCCGGAGTAACTGGTGGTTAGCCCTATGGCAACTTTTACAGCCAGCCTTATTTATGTACAACACAACTCAGTCTGATTCAAATTAATAAATCAATAAAATAAATACAATATTCAAAAATATAACACCGAGCCTGCTGTAGTGAAGGGTTTGGAGGGCGTGTATGGAAGCAAATTATACGTTTTGGACTGAGCCTGGTTGGATTTTGATCGATTTAATTGGGAGATTTCTGTATCAGACTTTGATACATCGTCGATGATAGATACAGCCAACCACCGACTTGGCTGGCTAGCCATCATCTTCAATCATCAGCCAATCCACCAAGGATGCATACATGACACCAAGGACGACTGGAGCATCTGCTCTCACTGTTACTGGGGCCAAGGGTGCTGTCTTCGGTCAGGCAGATCAAGCAGCGAGCAGCTGGGATAAATCATCCCCACCAGCATGTGGCATTCCTGAAGAGAGAGTCAGATCGAGGAGAGCTGATCGCATGGAAATCAGTGGATTGAGTGACTGGCTTCCCTGACAGACGGATACACCCTTGGAAGCAGGAGGAAGCAGGCCTTTGTGGAGGGAGGATGAGCCTCGGAAGATTAGACTCAGAGAAGGTGCATACAAGCAGCCAGTCTGGTGCGAGTCGATCAAGGGGTTGTGCTTTAATGTGGGGATGGAGATCGAGGAGGATGTATGCGCCGAGTTCATCCATCCCCACAGAATCGCAAACCAAAAATACTAGGATGGCAAGATAAAAAGGAGGACAGAAGAAAAGTGCCAGATGACGAAAATCGAGTGGGGCCATCTTATGTACCTCCACCAGCTGGACTGGACTAGCTGGATCGACAGCAGGACAGTCAAGTTGTGGAAATAGGAAATTTACTGACTAACCCTTTTGGTTTTGATGGTTAAGTGGCTGATAGTGGTGCCCGGCATCAGGAATCGATTTCTTGTAAACAGCGACCGAGTGATCGGTGATCGTTGATGGCGGATAGCTTCGAACTTGACTCATCTTCTTGGTCTTTCAATCTTTGGTTTGAAAACAAAGACTGCTGTTGTTTCTAGATGGTAATCGAGTGTTGAATGTGAATGTGTGTGTGTGTGTTGAGTTGATCGATGGTCAACTTGTCTTCAGCTCGATTAGTCGTTGGTCGGGTGTACTAGACTATGTATCGAATTTACGAAGCGATTTCAAGGATTACAATGGAGGGGAGAGCTGGCGGTAAAGAGAGGCAGAGAACGAAACCGAGCTATCTTGAAGAACAATCAATCGTTGGCTGAGATCGAGTCAATCGTCGTGGCCAAATGATGATCGGACCGAGCTGTTTTTCTGTTTTATTTTTATTTTTTTTTCAACACTAAAACGAACCAAAGATCATCATCATCAACAACAGAAACAACACAAATATTCCAACATCGAGGATCATCCACTACCAATTGAGATAACCAGAGATGGGTGGAGGTGGAGAAGCGGAAGAAAAAAAAAGAAAGAAAAAAGAGAGACTCGATTTCATTGATCTCTTTACCTTTCGAGACTTAATAATGTGCCAGTCCCTATAGACGACGACGAGGACAACAACGAGGAGGGAGATGACGACAGAGTTCGTCACTTGTAGCTGCTTAGAGAGACAACTGAAGACTGATGACGATGAATGAACTTGATTCAATGGTGTTCGAAGCGGTCACTAGAACCACCTCATCTATCGATACAAAACATATAACTTCCGATATGCTTGTTCCGATCGTCTGGATTGTAGACACTCGTTTTGTTTTCTTTCTTTCTTTCGGGTTCGTTGGCTTTCTTTCTTTCTTTCTTTCTTTCTGGGGGGAAATATAATATCTGTATTTCGGGATCGGAGGCTGAGAGGGGGATTGAAAACCAAGTCAAGATCACCGAACCAGAAAGATTGGTATCCACCAGAATAATTTCAAATTAGGATAAACCCCTCCTTTCGAAAGACCTGTCTTGAGATTTGAAACACCTGTCACAGGTGATCCATGTATGCATGCCCAACAAGCAAGCCCTTGTGCCAAGACTTGCCATCGAATATTTAAGACCCAGTGAAACTCCTGGGATCTACTCAACCTCCAATCAACTTAAAGATGCTAAAAAAAAGATGCCAAAAATTAATCAAACTTCGTCTTGGCAATGGAAAGGACTTCAAGATCATAACTGGAAGAGACAAAAGAAATCTTGGCCAATCCTATATCTCAAGCCAGGTACACATACTGTCCATCTATCAACATCTACCCAATAAACCCCTATTTACATTCATCTAAGCTTTAAAAAAAAGAAAAGTGAATGTTTATGTAGTTCAAAAAAAGGATACCATGAAATCAGGGTAGTGCTTGATCACTTGACCTCGAGGCTTGATGATGCACGTTTCACCTCACCTCTCACTGAAACTATCTTATTCTCTCAACTCCTAAGAAATTCAAACAAAATCCAATCTGTGTTATGTATGTACAACATACAATTTCACACATCTTTCAAAAAGAGTCTGTACTGCAGAGTGATTTTTTTTTTGGTAGGATGCAATCAAAGGAACCTTTTTTGAATAGTTGTGATCAATTTTATGCGTTCAATTATGTCTCCAAGTTTGTCCACAATTCAGCCAACAAAGCTGAACTGAAACAGTTCAAGAGAATCACCAAGATCCCAACATTGGTTTCCTATTTGTTTCTTCAAGAATCAGAAGTAGTATCCAAACAGCAGACAAAAAAAAAATGTCAGTTGGAGTAAGAGAAAAAAAAATAGCAAGAAGTTAAAATTAAGTGATCCAAAGGTCACTTTCCAGCTGTGGACCACATCAACAGATCCTGCCCTTACACTGTCCCAAGGAAGAAAATGTTTGACACTACCATCTGGAACTGAGTGGGTCTGGACTTGGATTTGGAGCTTGGGTTGGCCTTGAACAGTTTAGATTGAACATCCAGCTGAACCATGTTCATTCATAGTGGGTAGTCAATATTTGTTAAGTTCCAATCAATTGAATCAATATCCCTATATATAAAAGTGGATGAAATTGAGAGGGAGTTCTGAATGTCAAAAAAGGTGAACAATTGTCTGAGATTATTGATAAAAGGAGAGGACACAAAATGATAACAGAAGTACATCAATGAATGAAATCGAACATGGGATCAAGAATCTGCTTATATATATTCCGGTTGAGAGCACGAGTTATGATTCATTCAATCAAGGAAAGTTCTGGGAACTCGTCATTTGCTGAGGTTTGAGTCGGATTAGATTGAGAAGAGACTAGGGAAGCTTCTCGAGCGGCCAATCCCTCCAAACGCATCCGTTGCCGTCTATCTTCGGCCGATTCCCATTGGTTGATTGATTTCAAAGAGGGCGCATTGAAGGAATTCGACAAGGCTTCGAATAGTCTTTCTAGTTTGGCTTGATTCTGATGCATCAATTGATTACCTTGAAGCAACAATTTTGACAGATAATCGACTGGGACCAGTAATTGGAGTGTGCTCTTTTCAGAACACTTTTGGATCGCGATCGGGACATCTAGACCGCCCGTGCTTGCCCGGATCGCCAGGATCACTCGTCCGCGATGACCGACAGTGATTCCGGAGTTCCGGAAACCCGCGCCGATGACGGTGGTCAAAATCGGCACGGCAACCGTCACCGATTTTGCCAGTAAATGAAATACCGGAGGTTGATAAACGAAATGGACGACCAGAGACGAGCTGTCATCACAGGTCCAGCTGTCCGGATTGGGCGATGATTCTATGCGATAACTGTCGCCGAAGAGGGTCTGAATCGGATTCGCCAGTTGGTTGGTCTCAAGAGTAGAATGAGAGACGAAGAGCCAAGTCCCTCCACCTTTTCCATTGACGGCTTGACGGACACGTTGGGAGTGATCGGATGGATCGGATGAGCCGGCCTCCGCTGACGCGCCAGGAAGGTAGCTAACCAACCGTCCACTGCAGGTACTCGTAGATATCCAATCGGGCTGGGCATTGATCAAGTCGAGGAAAGGCCGGATGGGTTCATCGATCGTTCCTTTGGTAGATTTGTCCTTCAACTCGGCCAAATTCAAGGCAATCTGCTCTCGTTCTACCTCGAAGTTCTTGTATTCCGAGACTGTCTTTTCGTCCATCGTCTGATCCGCTTGGCTCGTGTTCCGCTTGTCTTCAGGAAAGGCAACTCCCGAAAATTGCACCAAGTCGCACTCCTCGACTGCGGCTCAGCAAGATGGAAGAATACATACTAAAAGCACGACGTCTGCATCGCGTCCATCAGCCATCCATCTCTTTCCCCCCTCCAGCACCATGATACGGTTGTGCCCACTCAACCAAACACCAGCGGGAGACCGCTTGGAGTATGTTTGGGCTAAACCAAGTGTTTAATAGCAGTTTCTTGAATGACTACCTCTGAATAGGAAAAGAGATCAACACGACTCACCTCAGGCATGAGAGAAATGTTTTAAGGGATATTGAGGAAATAACAGGCCTTAATAAGGTGGAAGAAGGTGGGGGAAATGAGGACAAGGCAGAAAGAATAGGAAACGGGCAGCCCCAATCACTGTACATAGATTGACGCTCGTCAAATGCAGTAATAGCGCGGGTTCGGTATCCAGCATAACCTAAGGTTCCAATCCCCTAAGGCTAAGGTCGAGCGTAACAAAGCCCGCGAGCACCTGTAGGCGTGAGGTGCAGGCGGGGCTTATGCCTGACCGACACAAGTCCGCATGAGGCTAAGTCCAGAATAAGCGTAGCGTTATTTTTTTTTCAATTTTAAAATTGTTCTAATTTTTCCCACTCTCGCTACTCCCTCCCAGCAATACTTTAGCATCCTGTTTATCTTTCTGTCTGTTCGGATTCTTACCGAAAAAAATTGTTCAAGCCGTACATTTTTTTGAAATAAGGGTCCGATTGTATTTTAATCGGACCTTTACTGTTTTCTTTTTTTTTAATTAGTTCCTTAATTGGTCAGTTGACCGTTGAAATACAAAACTCAGATCATAACATGTAATATAACTTATGAGATAACAGAGAGGATAACAGAGAGACATTGAGAGAGAGAGGTCAGCAGCGAGAGATCAACAGAGAAAAGAAAGAAGAAAACAAAAAACAGGTCAATAGCGAGAGATTGACAGAGAAAACAAAAAGAGTATCAATGAGAAAGAACAACAGAAAACAAAAAACCTCGAAGGTGTCCTTGGTATCGTTTTTTTTTGACATCAAATCTTAATCAGCGGACTTTGGATGAAGCGAGCGATAATGACCAATCGTTTTGAGGTAAGTCTTCAGGAGGGTTTGATGGCGGATGAAGCGATAACAAACGGCCGGATGGCTTGGAGGTGAGTCTTCTGGAGGGTTTGATGTATGTGGAACCGGGCCGGATGAAGCAATAACGGTCGCAAAGTGAAAAAAAACCTGATCGTTATAAGCGAGTGTTATGCCGGAGGTCCAAAAGGTTGAAAAAAAGAGGAGGCTTATGAAAAAAAGAGCAAAAGGAAAAAAAGGTTTATGCCGATAAGTGGCAAGATTAAAATTGCAATACCCAAAATTTGGGAAGCTTAAGCGGGCATGATGGGGGTAAGAGGTACAAATTCTGAGTTGGCAGGATTAACAAGAATATATCTAAGCTTCATTGATTACAAGGACAAAAAAACTAGGTTAAAATTCACGGCGCTATGGTGGAATGAGAACCTTCACCACCAAAAATGGATCATAGCCTCACGGTATCATGCTCCCCTCGGGCATAAGTCCTCTCCCTGCGGGAGAGTCGAGAGCATCCGCATCAGTCGTCAACTTAGTGCGGATTAAGGCACTTAATCCGACTGCGCAACCGCATCGGGTCAGATTAAGACAGGATCAACTAGATCCAGATCTCCATTTGGAGCTAGTCGGGTCTAAATCTAGCACCCGCTAATCCTCGGACTAAAGGCAAGTTGAATATTCATCAACACCGGGATTAAGGAGGATTAACACCTTTCCCCCTCCATATACACCTCTAGAAGATATCAAACTCCACTCTACAATATTGCGCATATCGACTCCACCACATCCCACAAAATATCCAACACAATGGCCAACAACAGCGACGATGAAGATCAATCACAGGATCAGACAAGGTCGAAACGCGCTCCAAATTTTTCTCCTGAAGAAGACGAACAGCTTGCGAAGAGCTGGGCTGTCATATCTCAAGATCCCATCCGATCGAATCAGCAAGGAAAAGATGAATTTTTCGCAAGGATTGCTGATAATTACAACAAGTACACTCCTGGACCTAAGAGGGATGCCCAGAAGCTCGGAACCAGGTATGTATCTGTTTGGATATTCTGCTCACTTTCTCTTATTTTGCTTCCATTGAAATCAATTGTGATTGATTTCGTTCAGGTGGAAGCTCATCCAAAGGCCGATTCTTCGTTTTGGGGCGATATACGATCAAATCGCTCAAAATCCAGCATCGGGTTCGGCACCGTCTGATTGGTTACGCAAAGCAAAGCAAACTTTTCTCGAGACCGAAGGGAGGGCATTCGCATGGGAAAGCGCCTGGGAGCTCCTCAAGACAATTCCAAAATGGCAGACGATGGGTAAAGGGAAAGCGAAAAAAACTGTTCGACCGTCAGCAAGTGGGTCTAATCCTAACCCTGTCCTGTCTCCGAATCCGGCAACCCAAGTACGATCAGGCAATTCAACCTCAGAAGCTGAGAGTCCAGTGCCCGAATGGAAGCGACCAGAGGGTATCAAGAAGGAAAAACGTAAGGTTGAGGAGAGCGAGTTCCGCCGCAGGAAGCTCAAGCTGCTTGAAAAAGCCACCAACGATGCCGAACGAAGGATTGTTGCAGCGAATCGTTTGAACGAGATTCAAGAGCGGTTGGCTGTCACCGAGGAGCGGAACTCCGAGATGAGGGTGATGATGCAAAAGCTGGATGAATGCCCCGATGACGATGCACGCGAATATGTCTTGGCGCACAGGAAGATAATCCTTGATAAAATCAGAAATCCTCCGCCCCCTCGCAAGGAATCGCAACGCGCAATTCAAGATGAGGCTGCCACGACGACCGAGCAAGGAGGTTCTCGCAATCAATTGGAGGTTCGTGATTGCTCGGACTATCGCGAACAATTACAGGGGCTCACTCATTCTCGTATGGATGGTCTCTCCGATGATCAGGACGAACGAGACGAGCATGAAGTTTCCAACGAAAATGACGATCTCCCTGACGACTTAGTCATCCAAAGACAAACCGGAACTCGGCTCACCCGTCGCGAAGCAATCAACCCAGCATTGTTGTAAACACTTAGTCAAGTCCAGGATATATCTACTCACTTTGCTTAGGTTGTATCTACTCCTTTTTTTCAGACCTTTTATGAGGCATAGGAAAAAAAATGAATGCAAATTTTTTTTATCAAACTATGTTGAATGATTGTCACTCTTTCTTATTTTTGTCTCTCATTCACTCTTTCTTATTTTTGTCTCTCGCGTCTGTCTGCTTAATCTCACCAAATGAACAAATATATGATCGATCACCTTGTTGAACCAAAACATTGAATGTTTTGCTTGTTTGAAGAAATAAAAATTTAAAAAATCAACAATTTCAAGGGCTCGAGGTTAATATGGCTCATCATAATGGCATAGGATTCATTACAGAGTCAGATGATACAAGTAAATATAAATAAATCAATCAGACACGTCCGATTCTTCTGGCAAATCTGAATCACTAGCAATCTCATTTTTGCCACTGAGCCTCCAAATATGAGCGATAAGGTCCTGGACGAGATTGTCGTGTATGCCTGGTGATTTCATCTCGATCGCTCGAATCAATTGCTCACGATGAGAGAAGGGATTCGGTTGAGGTGGAATGAGTCGAAAGGAGTCAGAGAGCTCAAACGGACGCGGAGGATAGCGATATTCAACCATCATGTTATGGAGAATAATACAAGTCTTCATGATTGCTGCCAGATCCCCGGGGTACCATTGGAGCGCCGGCTGTGCGAGTATCTTCCATCGAGACTTGAGGATCCCAAACGCACGTTCCACATCTTTTCGCATCGATTCTTGACACTTGGTATAGTACCTAGTCTCTCGAGTTTCTGCCAAACCTTTCGACTCAATTAAAGTTGACCAGCTCGGATAAATTCCATCGACTAGATAGTATCCATTTTTGTAGACATTGTTTTCAACTTCAAACTCGACCGTCCAAGAAGTACCAGCAATCGATGAGTGAAATAGCGGAGAGCGTTCAAGTACATTGATATCGTTTAGAGATCCAGGAGTCCCGAAGAACGTGTGCCAAATCCACGTGTCTTTAGTTGCCACCGCTTCAAGAACAATCGTTGGTTTCTTCTCTTTTCCTTTGAACTGCCCAGCGTAGGCGGTTGGACAATTTTTCCAACTCCAATGCATGCAATCTAGGCTTCCGAGACATCCTGGGAAGCCTCTTGCAGCATTTTGGCTTAAAATTCTCTTGAGATCGTCTTCGGTTGGTGTTCGGAGGTAGGTTGGCCCGTAGAGTTCTTGAATGGCAGTACAAAACATTGACATATTGTTTCGAGCAGTGGTTTCTCCGAGGCGGCAGTATTCGTCTGTGGCATCGAAAGGGATTCCGTAGCCCAGCTGTCGAAGCACAGCAGTCAGTTTTTGTTCAGGGCTGAGACCAAGTTTCCCTGTACAGTCGGGCCTCTGGACAAAGTAAGGGTAGTTTGCGGTCAAGTCTTGAAGGATGCGCATGAAAACTTCCTTATCAAGTCGAAATCGTCTTGAGAATTCGCGCTCGTACGTAGCATTGTCGGCAATGTAATCTTTCATCAGCTTATCGTGGAAATCGTATCGGTCTCTGTCTTTGTTTGGTATTCGTCTGGTACGTTCTTCTGGTTCACTTTCGTCGTTGTCAGATTCCGAATCAAGTTCTTCTATCAGGGATTGGATGACCTGATCATCCTCGACGAGTTCTTCAAGGGCTTGCCGTCCGAGTTCGATGTGGTATCGGATTGAAGACCTTCGATCCATTTGAGGTAGGTTGGTAGATAGGCGATGGAGGTAGGGACCCGGAGCTAAGCAGTTGGGCCAATGTGGATGCCAAAGGTAGACTAGACTAACCCTCTTAATCCAGGATTTTAACCCAGACCAATGCGGTTGACGGTGTGTACTAGCCCTAGTCCGGACTAAATTCATTGGTTTAACCTAGTCTAATCCTAGGAACCGATGCGGATGCTCGTGCATGCACACTCGACAAGCGGCTACAGTGCCCCACGCCGCAGCAGGGACGCGGGCTTTTGACTGCGGGAGAGTCCTCAGTGCATGCACACTCGACAAGCGGCTACAGTGCCCCACGCCGCAGCAGGGACGCGGGCTTTTGATAAGTTTGGGCTAAGGTATCCTCTATCTTATTTATCATGCTCTGCTCCTGATTCCAATTTCCAGGTGGGCGTAGACTTAGCTAAGCTTGTGAGGAGTGATCTCCTCAGAGGCAGCTTGTCATTTTCAAGATTCTTCCAAAAGCGTCAAGGGCTAGTCCTACAGCAGCCTTTTGGCAGGTGAAGCTAGGATCACAGAGTCATCTATGATCTCAACCTTCTCAAGGCTGACACCGAGTGGGATGACTAGACATCTCATCACCAGGATATATCTGAGGGCAGTAGGTGTCAGGTGACATGAAGTGACATATGTTACAACTCCATTGTTACTCTGGTGCTTGTCTGCTCAAATAACAATTTTCCCTTTGTGGTCATCAGGGAGTCCCAACCCTTTGACTTTGAAGTAACACTGGAATACAGGCAGGAGTTAGCTTCATGTCACCTGACATGTACTGCCCTCAAATTTTTCATGGTGCATAGAGCTTCAAAATGCTCGATTTGATGTTCACAATAGATGTTTCTTGACCCTTGCTTTCACTTTCTGAGAATGAAGAATTTGTCCATAATATATTGGCCGTCCCATGATTCAACAATTGTCTTGCTTCCTCAGAAGACCAAATTTCTGAAACTCAAAGACGTCTTTGGCAAACTGATTTCAAACATAAAATGAAGATTGTTTGTATAGGTATTACTACGATATAGTTGAGCTATAAATCTGAACTTTTAAGAATGTATGAATTTCGATTCTTGCTTGCCGTGATAGGCCTCAATTAGTCATTACAAACCGGTAACGAGCTTTGGCGATGAATAATTCGTGCGTATACAAAAAACAGAGGAAGTTAATGAGAAGAATTCAACGGGGCTGCTGCATAACAAACAACATTGATAATAGTTGACAAAACTCACCTCGGCCAGCCTCCATGTCTTTGAGCTTCTGCCCAACCTCTTGCATCGGGTGAGAGGTAGTCCAAGATTTGACATTGTGTTTGACAGCAACATCCAACATCTCTTTTATCATTTCCGGTGGGCCAATCAAGCTACCGCCGAAACTGATCCCCTTTCCAATCAATGCAAAACCAGAGAAGGTCGGAATGCTTATACAAGATGATCAAATCGTGTCAGTAAACAAAACCTGATATAGACAGTCAAGTGTTTTTGTTTTGGCATTGTGGTTGATCAATGATAGTAATACGCACTTCTCTTCTGGTAACCCAACGAGTGTTAGACGGCCATGGGGCTTGAGCAGTGGGAAGAAAATTTTATCGACTGGTAACTCGCGTTGATTGCTCGTGCAAAGAATCAAATCAAACGAGTTTTCCCATTCCTTAGCGGTCTCTTCAGGGTCCTTCGAGACAATAAAGTTCTCCTTTTTGACACCCAATTTCTCAGCATCCTCCCTCTTAGAATCTGAGTGACTGATTGCAAACACGTCGGCTCCCAAGGCCTTAGCCCACTATTACATCACCATGTTCATCAAACACAGAGCGGAGTTCAGCAATTTGCCACCAATCGTATGTACTTGTGTCAGGCCCGAAACTAACCTGTATGGCGAAATGCCCTAAACCGCCAACACCAACGATGGCCACCTTCTTACCTGGCCCGGCACCTCCGGTTTTGATAGGATTATACGTGGTTATTCCTGTTAGACCAATCAGAAAGGCCACAGCGATACAGCAATAAGTCCCCTGATCCGGTTAGATAAGTAGGGGATTGTATTTGGATCTTACCAGCACACATCATTGGGGCCGCAGTCTCAGATGAGAGTTCCTTTGGAATTTCGATGGCGAATTTACCTATTTCAATTCAACTCGACTTGTTACTAAGAGCAATTATCAAAATCGCCAGGAGCTTCTCTTCACTGGCCTTGAACGCGCACATAATCCGCATAGCCACCCTAACAGACAAGAAAGATTGTTTAAAAAAGGCATTCACTAAAAGATGCCTTGAATTCGAAATGAGAAGCTTGAGGTTTAAAAACAATCCAAGCGCAACTTGAGACATTGATCCATCCGCCCATTTTCCCTGGTAAGTGCCTATCAAACCCTTCTCGCAAAAGTTCTCCATACCCGATTTACAATGATGGCACGAGCCACTAAAGACAAACCGAGGAAAATAGTCGCTTGAGTTTGATATACTATTCTAGAAAAGGGGGAAAGCTTACCAAGCACCAGCTTGACCACCAATGCCTACTCGAGAGCCAACTTTGTGCCCACTTTCCTTGCCTGCCTTGGCGACCGTACCGACGATCTCGTGTCCGCAGATTGCGGGATAATTGATCGGAACTGGCCACTGGTTTCTAAGAGTTGGGTTGAGAATCCACATTTCAGTCCCAGAAAAATCCAGTGGTGTTCACATATTATTGGCGAGAAGACGCCCACTGGAGGGTATGCAAACAAGAGCCACAGATGCTACAATGGGTGACCTTGAGATCGATTAGAGCTTCGTTCCATTTCTGTGGGGTGTACTTGTACGGCTTAACCTCGAGAGCTTTGCCGGCCTTTTCATCATGAGCAGCACTTGGATCACGATCAGGATATAGGATTGAGATAGAGGATATGGAAATTAGCTTAGCCATTTTTTTTTGGTCTAGCCAGCTTGCAATCCGCACAAGCAAAGCATCTTAGAGAAGAAAAGTGAAACTCACTATCCTGAAAACTGTTCTGGGACTTGACTAGCTTGAGACATCCTCAAAACTGCTTTCTACCAAATATTTTATTTTATGTATTAGGGATGTGTTGAAGTTCCTATTGGTTGGTTACCAACAAGTGGAAAGGCTCTTGACCGCTTTTACGATGACCGAATTTATGCAACACCACTGTCACCACAAACAAGGATCACTTGGGTTAAGGCATGACAAGAAACTGTTGTTGACCGCTCGAGGAGAGATGTGATACATAGTAAGCCAGAGGAGGAGGCTAATTAACAGTCAGATCGACACCGAATCATCCTTGTTTTTCAGCTTTAATTCTTGTCAGCTACTGGCTTTATCAGTAACCGGACTAATCCACTCCAGCAAAAAAAAGAGTGTCTCAAGCAAGACATTCTTTTTCACACATCATTTAACCAGGATGCCCGATTGAGAGAAGCGGTGCTCACTGGTCGAATTATCTATCATGATCATTAATGGGTTTTTTTTTTTCAGATTTGGAAAACTTTTGATCAGCCATCTGCCTGAAGTCTACAGCTGGTTGTAAGACGATCATGCAGCAGAAGAACAGGATATCCGCGACAGACTTCTCTCTCTTTCCCTTTGGGACTCAAACGCAGCCTGGCGTGATTGGCTGGATGCCAGACACGTTCGATGCTTTATGATGTGATGCGGGATACATCGATTTCCAGCTGCCTAATAAATTGGTAATTGCAATATGGGGTGGTCTTGACCTTGTCTTGGTTGAACAATCAAAGCTCGAAATGAGAAAACTGACGAGAACAATCTCAAGTCGATCATCCAAAACTAAAATCGAACAAGAAAAAAAAAGAACGAGAAACATTCAAAGACATAGTCCGCGATATTTCCAATATGACAAGTTGGACGGTCAGGGTCGGGATTGGCGAAACAGACACCTGGGTTTCCGGAAGAACGATATAAAGACAAGTTTGCTTGGCTGTTTAAACGAAAGGTTTTCAGAAGGTGATAAACTGAGTAAGATGGGAAGTAGGCGTAAGGTTTTCAGGAAGATCAAAGGTCCAGTAATGGTTTCCAAGAGGTTCATAGATCAATTTACTTGCATTTTCGGGAACGATTGGACTACTGCATGTGTATGATGAATATGTGTGGCATGTTAGGAAAGAGGCAGGAGTTTTTAGGTGGACTTGATGGTCATGAGTTATTCGGAGGGTTATTCGCAGCCAGTGACCGAGCTCTTTCAAGCTTCCTCATTTTTTTAAGTTGTCGTTTGGATAAGCCAGCGGCGGAATTTTGGACGAAGTTGATAGACGTCTTGGGTTTCTGTGGAGGGGCGGGCTCGGAGCCGGTTGGAGGTTTTAGATCGTCCTGGATGGATGCGGATGCGGATGGCGAAGAGAAGGAGGAGGAGGAGGAGGAGAGTTTGTTGACTTTCGAAGCCGGTTGGAGAAGTGAGAATGACGATGAGCCGTTGGTCGGTGCCGCACGTTTCTTGCTCAAGGTCGACGTCCGACTGTCTTCATCTTCATCACTCTGTTCCTTGGGATTCGATGAGTCGTTTCTTTCACCCTTAGCTTCGCCATCGTCTTTCGATTTCTTAGTCAATTGGCTGTGGAGTTTAGAAGTTGTTAAACGTGATGGGGGCTGTTTGGGTGCCACAGAGCCTAGTCCCAATCTGAGCTGAGTGAAATGTGGAACGATGATTATGAGCTACTCCGCAACAAAAAAGAAAAAATAAAAACCCCCTCTTTGCTGCAGCAACGAAAAAAAAAAAAAAAGCTTACTTTGAGTTCCTGGGTCTAGAAGAATCAAGATCAAAAGCAGGACGGGGTTGAGGGTGATCAGAAGAGAGCAAGTTCTTAGTTTGCAGTTCCTTCGGAAGCCAAGATTCGACCATAGCCTGAATGTTTCCTATCGAGCTTTCCAGTCTCGCCTGAAAATCCTGCAGGTCCAGTACTTCTCCTTCTTGGGATTGATCGGTTGACTTGTGCGACTTGGAATCTGTCATCATCATCATCGAATCTTGCTTCATCGTTACGTCCATCAGCATCACTTCGTTGGTTGATAGGTCCTGAGGCGAAGATAAAACAAAAGTAAAAAAAGACACCTGTTGTGTGGGCGAAAGAATCCCAGCCGAAGTGGCATGCGAGCGCAGCAAGCTGCCGGGCGAGACGTCCCCGCGGGGAGTCTGGACACATTACAGGGCAACACACGATCATCAAAAAGCACAACACTCCCCGCGGGGCTCGAACCCGCAGTCTTTGGATCCCCCAATCTCTGTTCCCATAACTCATAGTGATCACTTAAACACGTGTCCCGGGTGAGGGTAGAAGTCCAACGCGTTACCATTACGCCAGGGGAGCATGTGACACCACGGACAATTGCATGTCGCTCCCGCGCGGAGCGACATCTGGGGGTTTCATTGGGGGTTTCGTGCGCAGTGACTGCGCCTACTGCCGCAGTCACGCACGCGGATTCGTCAAGGTGACGGTTACATCCGGGGCGACACCCAAATGACCGTGGTGTGAATAAGGCCAGTTTTACCGTATAGCACTCCCCCGCGGGTTCTGTCCAGTGTTAAGTTTGCACGAGTGGATCAGGATAATTTGGCTAATCTGGACAAAGATAAGGGAGTTACAAGGGCTAAAAACAAGGAAATGCTCTGGAAAAGGTGAAATGGTTCATGTTCAGTTGTAACAAGTTACTTCCTACTCCTATTTACCATGTACAAAAGAACCGGCCAAGATTTTCCCAGACATTATGTAACTAGACAAGGCTATTGCAACAAAGTGAAGGGAAACATCATGATATTTTTTCTTGTGATTATGATCGGTTAACCGACACACAAACCAAACATCTGAAATGAGTGAGCAAGAGGCTGCTCACAAACTGCTATATATGCCAACACCATTGCAAACATGTCAAGGGATGTCATCAGGCAAACGACAATCAACAGAAACCCTTGAAGTTGTGAGTGATTTGAACTTGGCTTATGATGGAAAAGATTCGGAATCCGCGATCAGCCAGTCATATTCCCAACGCTTAGAAGTACTTTCAATCAACCCCAACCATTAATAACGATAATAATATGCTAATGTTTCTTTAACTTTGAGTGCATCACCTTCACTCCTCCCAAACGACTCTGTAGAATAACATGTAAATAAGTACAAAAATCGGAGAAGAGAATACTACTTGTAGGATGGAAATCGGTAGATGGTTCGAAACCGTTGGGTTCGATACGCCCGCCCGGTTAACATTGACAACAAACAAAATTAGTGACAATGTTGAACTTATGTGAAAAAAATAATAAGAATTGTGCGGATATGTTATCGTTTGCTGAACCAAAATAACCTAGATCTGATTGTTCGTACATTCCTTTCGCAGGTAAGGGTGGGTAGGTTCAGCCCAAGACGTGTTTCAGAAAATCACATCTTCGTCTCGTTCACCTAATAGATCTGCCCCCCCCGCCGCATCGTCGAACTCATCCCCCTGGCCAGACTGCATTCGCTCTCGTTTCTCGGCTTCGGCAATCGCTGTTCGCTCTTTCTTCTTCGCTTGAACTTTCTTCAATCGGAAGAAATCTTCTCGATCACCCTCATCCAGTTCAGAATTGATATACCTGCCATATTAATTATAACATATTGTATTTTCAAGGACAAAAAAAGTGGGTTTTGGAAACATCAGCTCGTGAGGTGTGGGGAAAAGGTGCTTGGTAGAAGTATGGATACTGACTTGACAGTGTTTTCTAGTTTGGGTATCACCACATGCTCCAGTGCATTAACCCTACGATTAGTCATTCTGATGACCTCGTCTAAAATTATGAATGCAGTCTTTTTTGGATTGGCCAAGAAATCAAATCAGCCCAAAGTGCATGAAGATAATAATGAGATGATTTGTAAGTGTGTAAGTTTACCTGAAGGGAGGCCAACTCGACAAGAGTCTCCGTTGCTTTAGCATAGATTTCCCTGGCCTTAGTAATTTGCTGACCACCACGACCCAACCCGGTCAAAGTCAGTTCTGAAAATAAAGGAACAATCAGCCGACTTGCGCTTTTTCTTGCGAGATGGATGAGTTTGGGGTTTGAAGAGAGATGGGGGAATATGGGGAGATCGTGAATGCTGGTATGAGAAGGATCAATATTTTTGCTTACCAGACCCTCCTGCCTTAGTTCGATCGACCCCAAACGTGGGCAGGATGACGCCGGAGACGTTTTCCTGATGAGTAGAGACCTTGAAGGTAGCTTCCTTGACGCTTTCTTGCAGCTGATATCCGATATCCCCTCCACTGGTGTAAGTGACCTCAGCCAGACTGAACGCAGCCAGTTGCATCACTCGACCCATCTCACGCTTGGTGTGGTCGATCTTCTGTGTGATCGCTCGGAATCGTTTGGTGAGTGCGTCGACCTTCTTCTTGAGTAGCGAATGTCCCGTCTGGGCTCCCTTGAGACGTTGCTTAACCAGGTTCAAGTTCATCCGTGTTGGAAATACATTCTCTCGGGCCCCTGTTGGTCAAGATGATCTGTCATTTCTCTGAATCCATAGTCATAGATACCATAGTGATCATGGTAAATGGGCCAAGGACTCCGACTTGGATTAGTACTTACCAGCTCCAGACATGTTAAATGATTTGGGTGGCTTGAGGAGATGGAAATAGAGATGTGATCAAATCGATTGGCTGAAATTTGAATGAATTTTGCTTGATGGTGGTGCTCAAGAGTGTGCTTGGTGGTGTGCGACTTACAATATAGTGACGGTAAAGAAAGGACCGGGTCAGGCTTCGGGAGCCCCGGGAGCCCGGATTGCGACTGGCTATATATTGTGATCAGCAGCCCGAGTGGGCCGACCCGCTGGGCAGGCCATCTTGACAAATTTTGTACTTTGATTATTGAGTTCCCCCATAGGAGTCAATTTTACACATCCTTGAGTGTTGTTGATATCAAAAGAAACCAGAATTATTTACAAGATATCTATGCACTTTTTCTACAGCAGGAGGCGGGTGACTTGAAAAACCATGAGGATGAATGGTGGGCAAATCTGCAGATGTGCCTCTATCAGTAAAAAAAATGTAATTAACCAGGCTTTTCAGGATCATTCTCATCACCTTTTTCCAATGGAACTAACAGCTTAATGGCTGTAAGATCAAGGACTAAAAAGCATCACAACATTTGGCTTCTGGATTTGCCTTAAAAATGGTTCTAAACCATCATGTTTTGATAACAATAACACTTTGGATTTGAAAAAATTGCAGCATTGAGGTTCCGTCTCAATGTAATGCTAGGATAAATATGTATATCAAGTCCTCTCACATAGGATTTGGACCTGGCCATAAGGGCTTGTTTTTTTCTAAATCCTTGGGTTGAAGCTATGCAACAACCCTATAAATAGTTATGGAGAATTGATTGCCAATGAATGTGAAATAGTGTCCAATTTATCCAATCATTTTACTCTTACAGAAAATTTATACCTAAAAGATGAAACAAACAGTAAGCTCACAGAGGGGTGCTTCTTTTGGCATTGTGTTGATGATTTATGGTGTCCAAAATTGAACATCACAACTTGTTACTCAACAACATACTCTGCAATTTTGGTTGGGACTAGTGATTTTGAGTTTAATGCTGATCGACAGGTCTCTGCCAAATGTTGCTTTCTACTTTTTTAAGCTCAAAACTTCACAAGGAATTTGGAACGCCGTAATTGCCTGGACGGATTGGAGTTTCATAAATTTGTGTGGTTAGTAGTGTCAACAGTAGCTGCTTAATCTTGTGGTTTCTGTACCACACACATAGCTCTGAGCCAGGGACAAGAGCTACCCTGGGCTATGGTTGTGTTGAAGCTCTGATCAACCTCAAGCAGCTTAGGCCTACGTAATGGATGGTATGCATGTGTTGGTGGTATGAAATGGATCGGTGAGATGATGATGGGAATGAAAAGGAATGGCTGCTTCATTCTCCTTCTCTCCACACCCAAAAACTAAAAACCGTTGGATCACTTCAAAGGAGCAAGCAGGACCGATGTGGTGTTTGCGGTGTACTTGGATAGGAAGTAATTACCTGGTGGCAAACGCGAAGGGATTCATTAATCAGTCATGGGTGGGTTTGTGGTGGAATTTAAGATGCGGCTGGGCCTGAGGGATGGTTTTGTCGGGACCTCCGTTAGCGCGATATATGGATGTTTCCAAGCGGATATTCGGAAGATGTTAGTTTTGAGTATTTTGCATACATAAATAAATAGATAGATACGAGAGAATTGGATCAAGGACAGGGGGCGGGGCGAAATATTGAAGAAAAGATGCTCAGGAGGGCCGTTTGTTGTTGATCAGTTCCGGGTGAAGATGGTTATAGGCTCTATGAGAGACGGATGCTTATTTTTTTTCCCTCTGCTGAGAGGAAGAGGCCTGTTGCAATATAATTGGGTGTTGATTGACGTGGTTGATATGTTCCGGATGAGTGTCTCTTCACTGGCTGGACCCTGGAATCCGAACTTCGCTCCAGCTCGATCCGACTCCACTCCACTTCAACTCACTCATCCCTCCCCCAGTTCTGCACCCCAGAGCCAATTGCAAACAATTTTATTTAGACAGTCAGGACTTGGAAGTATTCTTTCCTCGCTCAGCATCCATATAACCTGCCCAGAGCCATCACTCTGCTCACCGTCTGGGCTTCAACAGGGAGAGCTCTTCCTTCTTCTTCTTTAAACTCTGCAAACTACATATTTGTTTAGAACATCCAAAAACTTCCAATCACACTCTAGCATATTTCTCCGAGCTCAGCCTAGCCCCTCCTTCTTTTACATAGTCTTCATCTTCAGTATAACAACTCTTCATTAATTCTCCCATAACAAATTGCTACGCTTTTTTTTTTAAAAAAAAAACCAATCAACCTTCGTCCTCGGCCATTCGATCTCACATATTCGAACCCACTTCTCGAAGACTGAAGACCCTGCACCAAGTCTGGCTTGATTACCTAACTGGTGTTATCCGCCGCACTATTTCATCTGCTTGCTCCTTTTCCTCGAGTTCTCCCCTGAGCTCTCCTCCCACCAGCAACAAACAAGATGGCCCATAAGAATAATACTCTCGGCAATCGATCTGACTCCGACAAGCCAAGGCCGGCTACCCCTAGCCATCACCCCTCTGGTTCTTACACACCAGCTGAAAAATTGACCAGGGCAGACGATCTGATGAGGTAGGCGTGGGCAATGGTTCCACATGATACTGTTTTACTGATTCTTGCTCCTGTCGCTCTCTTTCTCCATCCAAACAGCGATGTCCTGGAATGCTTCCTTTGGCCATCCCCAAATAATTCATCGCATCCACCCAAAAGAACTATCAAATTCACGCCTGGTTATCGAAGGCCAAGAGCATTGAACATCAACGACTTCAAACAAATCATTCATTCCGTCAGTCTCACCCTCTCCACCCAATCAGCTTGATTCAAACTCATTCTTTCTCTTCGCTCTCCAGGTTCAAACAGGAGAATTGAGAAATTTAACCGAAGCAACCACGCTCATTCGACAGTTAGTACCCACCTATCAAACCTCCATCTGCCTTCCTTCGCGTCTCCAAACCAGAGAGGAAAAAAAAAACAATCATTATCCTTCACTGGTTCATGCTGACGACTTTGCTCCTTTTCTTTTCTTAGATTGCCTGCCGTGATTCATTACCTCAATAATTCCGAACCGCCAAGGCTAGGAAAGTGAGCAGAATTGTTCCCCAGTTTCCAAAGTCTCTTCTCAATCTCATTGCTCACGCGTGCCCTACTTCCTTCACCAGACACATCGGGTTATATCTCCAATTGTTCCTGCCCAAGTGTGGTATCAGGTTCTGCGAGACTGATCGCTATGATCAGCGTCGACAACCACCCACGGTTGAGCAAGCACCACCTGAAAGCCAACTTTCTTCGAGTCACTGCTCAACTCCAGCCACTCAGTCCTCCTCCAACTCCACAAGACAACGATCCAGGATTCGAGCCAACGAATTGAGAGATCTCATAGGCTCCTCCCAAATCTCAACAGAAGCAGCGCCCAGGGTTTCCCGACGGGGCTCCACTCGCTCCCGCGAGCCCCACGCCCGGTCGAACAACCTAACTCATCTTGCCGTATTTGCTGCCCGGGATTATGCGCCCAACGATATCGTTGCAGGCTGCGAGGGCTCATATGCTGATCTCACCGAAGAGGAAGACCTGAAGCTACGCTCGAACGCCCACCTGCCGGCACAGGCCGATCGATCGACTGGTGCAGCTCCCCGGGAGTCCACCGACTTCTCACACATCGTCAACTCTCGGGGCAAGTTCCAGGTGTTCTGTGGACCGGCCCGATTCGTCAATCATGACTGTGACAATAACGCCGTGCTACTCAGGGAAGGCTTCACTATCAAGTTCAAAGTCACCAAACCGATCAAGGCTGGCCAGGAGATCCTGACCAGCTATGGGATGAATTACTTTGGCGAAAAGAATTGCGAATGTATGTGCGCGACCTGCGAACGGAACGGGAAAGGATTTTACTCTCAACATGAGGCCGACTCGGATTCCGACGGCAACAAACAATTGACGACCGAACAACAAGACAGCTCGATCAAGAATGAGTTTGAGGAGTCTAACCAGTCCATGCCCAGTTTGGGCACAGACACCGACCTCAGCTCGTTGGGAGATTCTAGTGAAGGCACGACGAGTCGAGCAAGTAATACGCCTGCGCTGGAACACTCCCCCCCAGCCTCCTACTCCACAACGCCCTCCCATGTCCGGCGACAACTCGCTCAGTCTCAAAGCGCCTTGACTGATCCTCGCCCAAACTCTCGCTCGTCTTCTACCAGACGCCAGAGACCCTCTCAACCGGACCACCAAGACCAGCTCAAATCTAGCGCTGCTGCCTTCGTCAGTCCTGTCAAGTTTCGGCCCACCCAAGATCTCACCCTCTCCATCTTGAGACCACTCGAACCCGAACGAGTCGAGCCACAACAGAACTTAATAACCAAGCTAGAGCCTCCACCCGTCTCCGAACCGGTTAGACAGCCGCCGGGGCCCAAGGCGGATGGTCAAGTGCTACCGGTGAAACGGAAGACGTACTGGATCACGACCAAGCAGAAGCAATTAGGACTAGTCCCATGGGAAGCTGACACACTCACACCAACTTCATCGACCTCCCAGCCGTACTCTCCCATGACGCCTTCTTTGCTGGGCCCGAGCAGACGGGATTCGATGGACCGATCCGTCTCGGGACAGAAGCGGAAAGCGCCGACCGAGTCTTGCTCGGCGCGGCTCCCGAAGCGCAGCTACTGGGTCTCAACCAAGGAGAAGGAGCTTGGAATCGTGCCCTGGGAGGCCGGTGCGGCCGCCGAAAGCCCCGAGCGCTCGGCTGCTCATCCTCGTTCCTGCCGCTCAACTCGGGCCTCACGCAGGGCTAGCGAAGGCATGGATGCCGTCATCGGTTTTCCGACCGCGCCGCGTGGGTCCAAACTCAGCTACAAGGTCTTTCAGGAAGGCACGCAGGAGGCCGAGATGCTCAACACGGCCATCGGCAGGGAGCTGCTCGGGTTCAGACCAAGGGCTGCCAAGAAGAAGACAGTCGCTACAGAAGAGGAAAAAGGAGAACAAGAAAACGCCGTGGCTTCGAGTGACAATCGCCAGCTTGACTCCGCCGACACTCCACTCGATTTGAACGGCGACGCTTCGATCGGCCCGTACGACGAGATCGCATCCTTCCTGCTCAGGTATCCAGGAGAACAACAGCCGACGGGGGCACAAAGCGGGGGCGAGAGCGGCAAAGAAGACGCCATACAACAGGAGGAGAAGACGGCAGAGAGAGTGGAAGAGAAGGAAGATGGGGGACCATTATTGGTGGCTCAGGTGACCTCTACGACGGGCTCCCCATCCACCTGCACATCCTCCATCTCGCCCAAGCTCCACTCCCGCCCGCGACGCGCGGTGGTCAAGGAGCGTCAGCCCAAGCCTGCCAGTCGACCCAGGAGAAAGCCCCACTCATTCCCGGCCGCTCTCGACACGCCCTCCGAGCATTCTGGCTCCCTCTCCCCCGTCCCTACCCCTCGCCTGATCCCCAGCCATCGTTCTAATGACAACATCCCCCGCGAAATTCAGCCAAAGGACGACCCCGCTTCCTCCGCCAAATCTCCTTCTACCAACGGACATAGACTATTGGTCTCGAGCATCGGCTGATCTTGTCTTTCTCTCATCTCCTCCTGACTTGTTTCCCCTTCTTTCTCATTCCTCTCCGCGCTGTCTTTCCTTTCCTTCATTTTTTTGCTTTTTTTTGGGGGGGGGCATATCAAAGGTCAATCTTGTTGTTAGACTTTATGTTTTTGATGTTACCTATATGTGTTTTTTTTTGTATTTGACTTGTTTATGAGTTAATTATATATATATAAGTATCTTGAACGCATTCTTTCAAGACAACCCTGCCACAATAGAGCATATCTCCAAGTTGACAGGAAGGTTTTCTGGTGTCCTGTGCAAGGGTAGGCACGTTCAATTATGTACTCGAGTCATGAACATCAAGTGCCAGAGGTGCAGGAGTGTCGGTATCTTGTTAAGCCCGAGACTAGCAGCTTCCTCCTACGGTGTCCTCCAGTGCCTAGTGACCGAGAGGTTATGTACCCGACCGTAAAGGTTGCTCCGCTTGAAAGACATCGTCGGTGAGTTGGTAACCGGAAAGGGATTATTACCTGGCCTACCATCTGATCAAGAACTCCTCTCGCTCAAGCATATATGCGTGCACTCCCCCCCAGGCTCGATGTCCTTCCCTTCCGATACATCGCTCTCCGGCAAACAAAAATGAGCCAAGGGGAGGCGAGTTTAGTCGCAGTGACTCGGGGGGGGGGGGGGGGGGGGGGGGGGGTTATCCTTTTCCAAAATTTTCCTTTTTCATAAGCTTTGGCCAAATTAACTCCGCTTCTCCCCGGCGGTTTTTGTTTGTCGCCGACCTTGGAGCCGCAGCGGGTCCTCACACAATTTTCGAACCAGGGGGGGTTCCCCCTTTTCAGGGGGTGAATATTTCTTGCCCGTACAAAAAAAGGTTTACGGATGCGTTTGGTCCCGGAAAAGGCAGGAGAAGCGCCTCCTCAGAAGACGCCCTGGGGCGGAAAATTATAAAAACAGGGTCAAACCCCCTCGGAGCTCTCCGCGCACTTTTCCCCGCGAATGAAAAACCCCGGGGAAAGAGTGAAAAAAAAAGGCGTCCTCTTGCGCATATAGCTGCTACTAAGCACCCCGTTCGTCTGCGCGCCTCACATTCAGAACACTTTTCT